GGTACATCAGTCTCATGTCTTGCACCTGAACTATGTTTAACTGCATTGTCCCTTTTAAATAAATAAAAATTCAAATTCAAAGGTATCACTTGAACGTACCCTCATGCACTCGGTATAAAAGCAAAAGCTGTGTCAGGACTCTTCTTCTGTACAGTCATTTTTCTGTCACCCAGTGACGGCTTCATTCAAACCATGTCAAGAAAATAAAATTTAAAACACTCAGAGTGAGCCAGGAAAGCATCCACTCTGGTCAAAATATGACTATAAAATTCTTAAACCATAAATTTTATACAAAGTCTCATACAGGAAACTATTTTTCCGCTCAAAACCAGTTTTGGAAGCGGCCTGAATGGATCTCAGCTCCAAGGCTGTTATAGGGGTGTTGTGGCGTTTCCACTGTATCCATTGTAGCCTGACCTTTAGCGAAGCCTCCTGACAACAGGTCAGGTTACAGCTAAGGAGAGAGTGACACCATTTTTCTAACGGTCCTTCAGCTACATCTAGACTCAATACTCATCCCTGGTCTTCTTCATTCACTCGCGCAGCGCAGGCAGGACCTTCTATTCACCGAGGCTCCATTTAATATAGGCGAAACCTAAGCCTGACATGGTAGAGCCGTTTTGGGTGACCATGCTGATCTGCAGGTTTATGCATGTGACTGAGCAGCTCAGTAAGAGAGTCCTAATCTGCCCAATTATGGCTACTCAATGCATAGCTCCTCATAAAGTTTGTAAGACCTTTGGGTGGATGACTATGGAACAAAAGCTTCCTTTCACCTTAATAAGTTGCATTTTTCCATTTGATTTCCATCATAATTTGCAAACTAAAAATGAGACTGACGAAAAAATACTGAAAGTTGGTAAAAAGAAAAAAGATGGGACTATTAATGCCTTAAAATTGTACTTTCTCACCAAACTGTAGCTGGATATTGGTGGCACTATGATACCTGGGAAACAGTTTCTCATCAGTTTTCGACACTCAGCAATTAAAATGTATTGAAGTTTGAAATGAAGCATTTCCAGCCAAGGTCTGCATAATCTGTACTCGTCTCATTGTGCTGTAAATGGATAAAACTGAGGCCCTCATGTTAAGACAACACGTGCCAAAGAGCCCATAAACAAATTCATTCAGTCGAGCTGCAAACTCTGAGGTTTAAAAATGCAGCTGATAAACCGTCAAAGTCTGCGCTTCCTTTTAAGGCCACCTTCAACTGGATTCAAATTAGGGGTGGGCGATATAAACGATATACGATAGAAACTAAAACCATTAGTTTTAAAACCATTATCATCTGCAAATAATGCCGGGTGACAGTCACAGCAAAGAGATGAAGCACTTTTGAAATAAGGGGAAAGCCAAAAACTG